ATCGGCTGGGCCTCCTGGATGGCCTGCGGGCAACCAAACGTTCCTTTTTCAGTGGGAGCTACATTATACTTTTCACTGTTCTCTCTGCTTTAATCTCATTTTTGGCTATATTGATTTTGCTAATTGGTTCAAAGATTGAGTTTTGGGGGGCAAGGATGATGTGATTGCATCCTTTATTCCCCTTTGGAAGGCAGTCCTATGCAACATTCCATAATATGATGGCAGACTTCGCAACCTGGGAAAAAAAAACTATGCTTTGTGGATGCAATTCGATATTTTTGAGCCTCATTTTTGTGACCTTTGGTCTATAGCTTTTTTGGTATTTTGTATATTCAATTGGTAGCTCAGCTTTTTCTTTTGCTAGGGAGCTTTGGTTATTAATTAAGAGATATTGAATTCGAAGCTTGCATATATGATGTGTGTGTGAGTTTATCTTATTGGCTCAAATAAAAAAAAGTGAGAAGAAACAAAGAGATTTAAGTTTGACTATCAAAGAAAGGTCAAGAGCTTCATTAGTTCTGGTAGGCTGAAACTTACGCTATACCTAGGATGATGGAACTCTGGGATCTTGATTGGGTGTACCTTTGTCTCGTATTACTAAATTAAAAACACTATTGCACACACATGCACTTTATGTATGAACTAGACATATTTTCATCTTTAATCGAGAAAACTTTTTTAATGCGTTAGAAGGGATAATTAATTATGAGGGATTATGCTCATAGCAAGTAGAACTCATATCTAAATAAATTCTGACAACACTCTCATAAGAAATCTAATTAAATGTTAAATTCAATATACCTCCAAAAAAAAATAAGGGATTTTATATTTTTTCAGGGCGAACAGATTTCTGACAACTCTCCTGAAAAAATTTGGTTAAATATTAAATTCAATCCACCTCCGATAAAACTTACGCACCAATTAAGAGTTTTCCAGAGGGAACAAGTTCATCATCAAAAGCTATGACAAACTGAAAATTATTTAATTTGATCTTACATTGCAATTAAAAATTTTACATTTCTTTATTATATTCATACATCATATTGATGTTTTGTCATTACCTGTTTTGGAAGATCATGTGAAAGTTCTTCACATGAACTGATTTAGCTCTCCGCCTCGTTACAAAAATAGAAAGAGACAAATTTTGATTGCCTGATAACAACAAAAACATCAACATTAGAAATTTTATCAAAATAATCATAAATGAATTACAATTTGAAACCAAAACTATTGGTTTTATAATGTCAGTCTTGTAATTTTTCACTCATCTGATGCTTATCATTTCTAAACTAGTAAATATGTTTTGGTTGATTTCCGTTCTTATAGGCTCGTCGGTGTGAGTAACTTTTATTACGTCCTTTGACCGGACGTAGATCTACGTTCGGTCAAAGGATTGTTACTCGATTTTTGCTCGGTATTTGATCGGTATTGCTAGGTATTGTTTGATAATAACGAGGAATATCATTATGGGAGACCAATACCGAGTAATACCGAGCAATATCGAGTATTATAAAAAAATACCGAGTTTTTCTAGAAAAAACTCGATATTTTTTGGTATTACTCGGTATTGCTCGGTATTTTGTCTTTACATAATGATATTTCTCATTATTATTGGTATTGCTCGGTATTTCTCATTTTGTGCCTGCGATCTTAATGCCGGCCGAACATAGCTCTACGTACGTTCACCGGACCAAATAAAAAGTTCCGTCTGTGTAGCCTAGCAATTTTAGTTAAATTTCATTTTATGATATATTTTATTTTGTGGTTTTATTTGTTTAATATTAGACTTTATTTGGAATAATTTTTTTTATTATTTTATAAAGCAAAATTTTAGCATACAAATTTTAAATTTAAATAAAAAATATATTAAAAAATTACTTCAAAAAAATAATAAAATAAATGTCTCAAATGAAGCCTTAAATGAGATCTCAAAAGTTGTTGGCAGATCTTAGTGCCGGCCGAACATAGCTCTACGTATGTTAGGTACGTTCACCAGACCAAATAAAAATTCCTGTTTCTGTCTGTTTTTCTAACAAATTTTTTATTTTCTTAAAAAAAAAAATACCTTACCACATCAAATCACCAGCTAACTCATTTAATAAAGCACGTGCAAAATATCAAGGCACGATTATCTCGTGTAGAAATCAGTACCTATTAGTCACGTGGTGCGACCTATAGAGAGCCGCGTTGGTATGCCGCCAGCGAATTTCCAGCACGTGCTGTTGTGATCAAGCGGCTTAAACAGTATTGACGTGTCTAAATAAAGGCCAAAGCCAAACGGCAGGTAACGTTTTTGTCGTACAAATATGTTGATAACAGCTCATATATATATGGTTTGAATTCTCCATAACTTCGGCTATCGACTAAATATATTTATAATACACTGAATTAAAAGATATTTTTATAAGGAATAAAAGTCTACCGCATATTATGTGCCACACGTTAAAATAAAAAATGTAATAAATATATAGAATATTTATAATCCAATAGGTAAGTATCATAAATATGAGTAATGCTTTAGCTTTAAAAAAATATTTTTTTGAAGAAAGAAATTTGCTGAGTTCTTAAGTAAATTTATTTGAAAAAGTTTGAAATTTCTAAATTATGGAGCTGCGACGCTGGGATTTCAGTGCACGGCTTTGGGCACTCAGTGTAGCATAGTGGCGTCAAAATTTGATGTAGCGACGTTGATGCTCTATGTTATGCAGTAACTATAGAATGAGTATGCAGTGCTGAGTCAGAGAGTCGCAATGCTAAACACAAAAAACATTTTTTATCCACTCAACCTCTCTTTTCCCTCTCTCTCATTTGGTTTGTCGAGAAAGGAAGGGAAGAAGGGGGAGAGGGGAAGGGGATAGATGAAAGAGAAAAGCAGGTTTTTTGCCACCGGTTCATTTTACTACTCATACAAAATTTCTTTTGATAGTTATATTTGACTTATGTCCTATCTCTATTTTTGAATATTTTGGTTTTGGGATTAATTTTTCTGTCTAAATTGATATTTATTACATTTTATCTTATTTTAATGAATTTTTACTGTATAATTTTTGATATAGCCTAGTAGCGATTATTTTGATCATTTTGGCAAGATGATTTTTTTTTTATTGATTTAAAAGTTGTTTATTGTATTTTAATTTGTATGATTTGAGCTTGAATATGATATCAATTGATTTTTTATTGTATTTTGATACGATTATACTTTTAATATAAGCTTTGTGAGTGAATATGTGCATTTAAACAAGCAATAGTTGATTATTAAATGAATTTATTTGAAATGTCTAAAATTTATGAACTATGGTGCTGTGATGCTTGGATTTTGAGCGTCATAATTAATTTTCTGGGGTTGGGAGCAGCATGGGGTGCTAGAATTTGCTGCAGAGGTGTTGGTGCTCTCTGTTCTTGATTAACTATAGAATGATGATATGGTGATGCAGCACCGTGAAATCTCTTAAGTAAAAGAAAGCTAAGCTCTTAAACATTGAGGAGTATTTTGGTGTAATGACTAAAAATTTCGTAAGAAACTATGTAGTTAAGCGTGCTCATCCTAGGGCAATTTTGGGATGAGTGATCTACTATTATGTTACACCAACAAGACAAATTGTGTGGCAGTTAGGTCAAAGCAGATAATATCTTGATTGTTAAGAGTTTGAGTTGTTACAAATGATACCAGAGCAATACACCAACCGGAAGATGAGAACTAAGTGTCATACATGATAAAGTGCTACACCATGGGAGCTACCTTTTGAATCATGTATGAGACAAAATGTTATATGATAGGGGCCACCACTTGAACTTGTAAAGGCCATATCTAGAATCCTATGTGCCTAGTGGATGATTATGGATAAAGATGCTGACGATGATGTCAGTTACTTAAGTGAGGGAAGATTGTGAAACCCTTAAGTAAAAGAAAGCTAAACTCTTAAAACAATGAGGCGTCTATTGGTGTAATGGCTAGAATTTTTGTAAGTTAAAAAAAAAGTTAGTTTAAAAAATAATAAAAAAACTTTTAAACGAACATTTTATTTGAGAAAATTTTCTTGATGTTTTCTAAAATAATTTTTTAATATCAAAATTTTTGTACTAAAAAATTATTTTAAAAATAATTAAAAAATTATCCCAAACTAAATCTTAAGCTTCCTTTAAGAAGGCTTTCTTAATATTTTTTAAAATAATTTTTTTAATAAAAAAAATTTCTTGAATTAAAAATTTTTTAATAAAAAAATTATTTTTGAAAATCAATAAAAAACTATCACAAATAAATCTTTAATCTTAAACATGATTCTTCTGCCACTTTTTATTGCTAAAGATAAAATGAAAATATATTATCTCATGTTATATCACCTCCTTTATTATTATCTATCATTTATTGTCCCTCATTATTTGTTGTTCATTAAAAAAAAAAAAATCTATAATAGATCAAACAAATCATTCAATTATTAATTTTCGATTACTTTGTCTATCACTTCTCCTATATTCACCAATACACCTAACTGAATGAAAAAGAATGACAAATGTTACATAGTAATATCATGCAAATAATATATACATCTTCAAAGTTATTGTTCTCATTTAGGCATAGAAATTTATAATTCCAAACCCTAAACCTTAAGCTAATACTTAAATAACATTCTAAAACTTAAATTAGTAATGTAATAGAAATCAAATTGAGCTCTCGTCATAATTAACTCTTACGACTTCCGGATCAAGTCCGGGCATTTCTTCATAGCTCCAAACGAAACAATCCTTGAACTGAACAAGTAACCTAATGAGGTCATTAGCTTCATCATTAGTGAAAAGTGAACTGATAAAAGTCGGTTTAGGATTTTCACCTATTCCCAAATTCATTTCGTTTAGCTCATCTATGATTGTCTAAATTTCTTCTTCAAAAGCTCAAATCACTAATTGTTTTTCTAATTTGAGCTTGACTTTATAAGCTCATCGAGAAGCTTGATCTCAAACCATGCCTAACTTGAGTTTAACCCACCAATTGTTTGCTTAAGTTTGAATTAAGAGACCGACAATAATTAATGAGTCAACAAGTCTAATTATAAGCAAATCGAGTTGGAGCTTGGCTTACGAACATAAGCACATTAACAAGTTGAGCTCAAGCTTAGCTCGACTTATTGACATTCTATATAAACATGAGAATAACTTTTCTTTTCTTTCACATGAAAGAACCAAGGAGCTACTCTTTAGACTTCGTTTGGGATGGCTTTTTTAATGCTTCTTAAAGCAGCTTTCTAGTTAAAAAATTTTAGTTTTTATACTTGGAAGCTGTTTTAAGAAACAATAAGAAAGACATCCTGAATGTAACCTTAATCATATACATTATAAAAAGATAGACATGATAAATATGGTATAGGAGAGATGGTAGTAGGGTTAGGCATGATTATATTTTGAGCCAATTTAGGTTTCGTTTGAGACAGCTTTTTTACTGCTTTCTAGTACAAATTTTTTTAATATAAGAATTTTTTGTACTAAAACATTGCTTCAGAAAGTAGTAAGAAAGTTGAACCAAACGAAGCCTAAATATTGACGCGAAATCAGCTCATGGATCAAATTGATTCAACCCAATTTTGAGCTAGCTCCATATTCTACCTGTTACCATGGCTCAATTGCTCTCCTCTTTTGTTCTGACCTTTTCTATGGACTCCATTGCATCTTCAAATGATTTCTATATATAAAATAAATAAATAAAATAGAATATTAGAATCATCACCCAAAGCATAAGTTAGTAATTGGCTGCACTTTCTATGTTGCATAAAGGGCTGTGTGTGAATAAAATGTGCTTGATCAATAATTGGAAGTTTATTCATATACTATTTTATGTTAGTTCTAAAATTAAATAAATATGGATAAAAATTTAAAAACTAACAAATAAATAAACAAACATAAAAACTAACTTATTCATTTGTGGTTGAGCGCATACTACTTTATAATTTAATAAATAATTTAATAAAATGCTCATTTAATAATGATTTAATTACCTCATAACTTATAAGCTTTAAAATTATACATATGATTAAAATATGAAATAAAAAATAGATATACAATTTTAAAAAAAAATTATGAATATTTGAACTTTATAAAACAACATAAATAATACCTAATAAATTATACCTTTTTTTATTAAAATCTCTAAATTCACTTATGTCTAATAACTAGATCAAATATATAATTAATTAGGCACGATCAAAAATAAAAAAGTAATGTTCAAATTTGACAAAAATAAATGAACGAGTTTTAACAAGATAATTTTTTGCCCAACTTAATTCATCTACAACAATCAAAATAACATCAAGCCTTTATCTTATTATGTGGGGTCGGTTATATAACTTTTTTTTCATTGTGTTCCATTAAGAGTCAAATTCTCATTTAAATCTAATAAAGAAATGTCATTTCTAATACTTTCTAACCAAGCCTTTTAAGATCAATCTCTACCTTCCTTAAACAAAAGCCAAACCTAGGTCATTGAAAGGCTGCTGTTATATGTGACCAAATCATCTAAGGCAACTCTCTCTAATTTTATCTTCCATTGGAGCTACTCCAATCTTTTCACGAATATGCTCATTTCGTATCTCGTCTTTAAGAATAAAGCCACTCATTCACCTGAGCATCCTCATCTATGTAATACTGAACTTCATATTATGCTTCTCTTTTAATGGCCGACATTCTGCACCATAAAACATTGCCGATCTCACCACCATTTTATAGAATTTTCCCTTAAATTTGAGCGGACTTTTTCTATCACACAAGCAAGCTCAACACATTCCTCCATTTCAACCATCCAGCTTGAACTCTACTAATAATATCCCCATCTATTTCACCATCACTCTAAACAATAGATTCAAGATATCTAAAACGTGTACTTTTATTAATGACTTGATCATCCAAAGTCACAATCCCCCCATTAAATCTATTACTACTAAAATTACATTCCATATATCTTGATTCATGTAGCGGCCATTTAACATGCTAATTGACAATGCCTCCTTAAAAATTTCAAAATTGATGAACTGAAATATCAATTTACAGAGCCAAAACCAATCAAATCCCTCCATCTTAAATTAATGAACAGGTTTAAAAACTAATTAGACAAATCATCATTCATCTTTTTGATAGAACAGAATCTTTGAGTCGTATCAGCGATCAACAGTATTCATGGCTTACTAATCTAGAATAAAAATTAGAAGGTTGGATTACATACCCCGGTATTATTCAATTTCCACAGCGTATCCACACTTCTCTCTGCAACAACTGCTCCACCTAACAAAAGACTGGATAACTGAAAGTTTATTAACTTTAAAACTCTGAAAATTAAAGAAACAGCGATGTATAAGACTCATTCATTCCTGAAGTAGTTAAAGACATGGGAAAAAATTGTGTCGGAATGAATTTTCCATCCATTGCGGTTTTGTTTGGGATGGCTTTCTTATTGCTTTTTAAAGCAACTTTTTAGTATAAAGATTTTAATTTTTTGGATTAGAAAGCTGCTGTAAGAAGCAGTAAAAAAGCCATCTCAAACGAAGCCTGAATTTGTTTAGGATGAAAATTAGAGAAAACAATGAGGAACAAGAAAATGCTAATAAAAATCTCATTTGTTCCTGTTTCCTGTAGTTAAGGCATGAGAGAAAATTGCGTTTGTTTGCATTGATATATATATATATATATATATATACAAGACTTTCAAATGAGATTCATGTTCACAAATAGCTTATGTGATGATCAATAATTAAGAGAGCAACAAACATATTAAAATTTGACTTATTTGTTTAATGAATTGAATTGAACAGTAGTTGAACTTGCCAAAAATTAATCCTTACAACCCCTACTTAAAATAGCTTAAGCCCTTGTGGAACAGCCTTAAATTAATCCACTTATATCTTCATCCATGAAAGGGAAATGATTTGATTCCACATTTAGGGGTGTAATTGAGCTAAGTTGGTTTGCAAGCTAGCTCGATTTGCAACTTGTTTATGTGCTCACAAGCTGAGCTTGTCGAACCTAAAATTATTGCTAATGTATCAAGCAGGCTCGTGTTCCAGCTTGATTAGGCTCAAGCCATTGTCTTTCCATTCGACTCCATTAAATTCTATTTCTCACCCATTTTATGTTTCTCTCACTCGGCTCGTTTTAAGGCATAAAAAATAACCCCACGTCTCGTCAAACATCATACATTCCTCTTCTTTTTCAAATACTATTGGTCCCATCACGACTTCCGCTTCTTCTTTTTCAAATGCTATTGGTGCACTCGCGATTGCCTCTTCTTCTTATTCAAATGCAGTTGGCCCTATCGTGATTTCCCTTATTCAAATATCCCTATTCCTCCCAATGCCTTCTTTACCAAGCTCCCGTTGCGACTTCCTTATCATCGTCAAAAACTTCTCCAATGAATTCTCATAGCAATTTCGTCATAATGCTTCTTTAGCGACCTCAAGCTAACGAGTCAAGCTCAAGGTTGTCATTAGATTGATGAGCCGAGTACTAGCTAAATATATAAGCTCGATCAGAGCTCAAGTTCAAGTTTGAGCCTATCTATAGACTGATGAGCCAAACTCAAGTCAGTTGTGACTTAATCTTGATTCGCCTCATTTACACCCTTATCCAAATGCAAAAATATAGTGACAAAGCACCACACAATACAATATGAAATTAAAAAAGAGTAACGAATTTATGAAATATAAAAATTAAAACAAATTATGTGAATTTATTCAAAGACTATAGCATTACTCCAATAAAAAGCATAATCAACAAACCTCTAAGAACTTAGAAACAAGCTAGAAAGAGATCCACAACAATTGGGATTGTAACTGAACTATTATATTTGATAAATAACATATTATTTCATATTTGAATATATAGTTTCTAAACTTGACATATAAATACAAAATTTGAAAGTTCACTTGTAAGCATGCTTGCTCATTACTCAACAAATAATTTGTGAAGAATTTAAGAAATTACTTATTTTATGAAAGTTTAATTACTTAATTAATGTTTGATTATATTGATTTTCTTATAACCTAAACACTTTAAAATTAATATATAATATCATAAATGTGATAAAAAAATATTAAGCAAATAGCAAGTTTGATACATTAAAATCTAATTTAAGTTAATTTTGTTAGAATTTGAATTTGGCAAAATATTAAAAATATTAATGAGCGGTTTTTGATAATTTTCATGAAAACATTTCTGCTAAGTAAAACGATATATATTTATGTTAATCAGACTAAATTAAATCTTGACAATAATTTGAACTAAATAAACGAGCTTGGATAGAATAGCTGAGAAGAATTACCTCGCAAAAGCCAGACTGAACAGAAACCCACGAGTCGTCATGAGTTTGAACAGGAACTCCACATCCAATCCCGATCCTCCACCTCCCGGAGACCTTCTAGGGTAACCACCACCACCACCACTACCTCCTCCTCCGCCATAACCACGGCCCGCATACCCTGCGGAAGCCGCCGGCGAGACCCCACCACTCCAGCCGCCAAATCCTCCGCCCCGGCGTAAACTGAAGTCGTAATCCGCGCGCTTCCGATCATCAATCAAAATCTCGTAGGCCTCCGACGCCTGCTTGAACCTCAGGACTGATCGTTGCCTGACCACCTCCGATGACTGGACGTGTCTGTCGGGATGGAAATTTAGGGCGGAGCGACGAAAAGACTCCTTGATCTCTTCCTTGGTGGCGTCTTTGGTCAGCCCTAGAGTCTTGTAGTGATCCATGGATGGAGAAAGAAACAGGCGCGAGGGAGACCCATTAGAACGGGAAATGGGAAGGTCAGATTAGGGTTTCGTTGCGGAAACGGAGGAGGTGGACACGCGTTCTCATTTGTTGCCGCGAAACTCAGTCCCGCTTTTGGGAGCCGAGCTGTTCGTACAATCGTTACGTATAACAGATTTTTTATAAGTTATTGCGGATATTATAATTAAAAATATAATAATAAATTCCTTTCATATTTGTTGTTTAAGGCTCATATTTCCTTTTGCTTAGTATTTTTTGTTAGGCATATACACATATTACATATATATTTAGAACATAAAAATTAGAAAAGGTATAAGAAAAAAAAATAAGTAAATACAACCACCATAGGAGGTGCTTGGCGGCGTAACTAGCCTCTCGGCGAGCCTACCAGCAACCAGCCCCACAGGTGCAGGACGCGAGGTTATTTTCTCCCCATTTGAGGGGTCGTGCCACATGAGAGGGGAATTGAATATGAGTTGGTGGGTTCCCAACCATGCTCACCCACTAACCCAACTAAGCCTGATGGGGTAGTAAATACATCGTTACTAGAAAAATCTACTCTAACAACAATAACAACAAGCCTTTATCCACTATCTAGGGTCGGCTACATGAATTCTTTTTCTTCATTGTGTCTTGTTAATGGTCAAATTTTCATCTAAATCTAATAAAGAAACGTTATTTCTAATATTTTCTAACCAAGTCTTTTAAGGTTTACATCTACCTTTCTTAATATAAGTCAAATCTAATACATAAACTTTTTTAATCAGGTTATCAGAAGGCTGCCGTTTTATGTGACCAAACAATCTAATACGATTCTCTCTAATCTTATCTTCCACTGGAGCTACTCCAACTTTTTCACGTATACGCTCATTTAGTATCCTGTCTTTAAGAGTAAAGCCACTCATCCACTTGAGCATCATCGTCCTACAACACTTAACTTAATATTATACTTCTTAAAAAAAAATAAATAAAGGGAGGAAAAGACTTTAGAGTGGATATAATAAACAAGTATCAATAAGTAATGATTCATTTGAGCTCTGATTTACAAAGGAGATGCATCAAAGAGGCCTCACAAGATTGAATTGAATCGGCGATCGACATTGAAATAGCGATTTTCATGAGAGATTTAAAACATTACCTAATTAATATAAATAAATAAATAAATAAATAAATTAACTATTTTATATGTAAATAAAAATATTATATAAAGAAATCTAAATTAAAAAGTGATCAGAATGAAGCTCATAAGTTTTAAACATGTATTTAAATTTTATGTAATATTAATTATTTTGTTAAGGAACTCAATACTCAAATTTCTTCAAATACTTTTGCAATGATAGTAATTAATCATTAGTGTAGTAACCTAAGTGAATATCATGAAGAAGATTTTTGTGCTTACTGATTAGATGAAAGAAAGAACTGTGGAGGTAAAAAGAAGATATTGAAAAAGAGGTAAATTAAGGCTTCGTTTGAGACGGTTTTTTTATTGCTTTTTAAAACGGAGTTGTAGTACAAATTTTTTAATTTTTGTACTAAAACTCCGTTTTCAGAAGCAATAAAAAAGCCGTCCCAAACGAAGTCTAAACCTCAAAAGAGAAAGTTAACAGCTAAAGAGAAAGAGGAAGTAGAGCCTCAAGGCTAGAAATAAGTGAGAAGAGTTTCCAAGGGTGGTATGATAAAAGAAAATCATTTTCTCCGATTTCATCATCGATCGTCTCAATTATATTATCCTAGGTACCATCTAGGATAATAGATCAAATAAAAAACCTTTTTTTTTACGCGTGCGCATCTCGGTGATTGAGCGAAGGGGATTCCTCATAAAATAATGCTCCTATAACTGATATTTATTTAGTTATAGAACTTAATGAGAGCACAAATCATAATGAAAAGCTCATTTCAGAGATAAGGATACAAAAATTGGTTATGCATCTAAAGAATAATGAGAATTTATCAAATTACCCCCAATAAAATGGCACAACTGGAATACATTTTCGTTATTGAGCTGATGCATTATTCATTCATAAAATCTTACAACAGGATGGACAATATTATAATAAAATAAGGAACTTTTGCATGAAGACCCTTAGTTTATTTTTTATTAAGAAAATAAAAAGTAAAAGTAAGATGCCATCATCATATTTTTTCAAAATGAATTTTAAATAATCATATATTACATTCAGTTCAAAATAAATCTAATAGCTTTAAGTAAGATTCATCCCAACTAAACATTATAAATATGATATAATTAGCAAGGCTTTGAAAATCGGACCGGTCAATGACCCGGAAGAAGAAGAGGTTAGCGGTTTGATGGTTCGACCGGGGTCGAACCGGGGTTGAACGGATGACGTAATAAATATTTATTATATTTGAATATTATAATAATGATGTAATTATTTATAAATATATAATAAAAATTAAACATAATGATAATATAAAGCATAAAAATTAAATATTTTAATTAGTTGTAGGATCCTTTTGAAACCATTTGGAGCTATGTTATGTGCTCTTAACTCATATTTTCAAACTGCAAGAAAATTTAATAAAATAAATTACCCATATATTTATATAAATAAATATCCAATTAATAAACGAAAGTCAAGGCTTCAATTCATGATATTATGGCCTCGTTTGATTAGGTTTATTTTCTCCATTTTCGTTTGAATAAGCTTTAATCAGTTCGTCATAACTGCTTGGAAGACAAATTTAATCGTAATTACTTTTTATTAAACCAAGTATTTTGGGTGGTTACAGAATTTATTTGATGTCTGCTTATTCATTCAGAAAACACAGTTTCCCAACCAAAAAGTCCGAATTAACCCTCCTCCACGTTCTCGCTCTGACTCCTTCGACGTTGCTGTCCGACTTCGTTATTTTCGTAAAAGAGGTCTAGGGTTCGCCTTTCATCTTCTCTTTCTCGTCGTCGTTGTTTAGCGACGTTGCTTTGCAAGAGAGTAGGGAGCGCACGGTCACTCCCTCTGCTCCTTGTTGCCGTTCGACTTCGTGCTTCGCAGAGGTACAGAGATTGCACCGTCGTTTTTGCGGCTCCTTCATTCCTGTTCGACTTCGCTCCTTCGGCTCCCGTGGCTGTCCGACTCTCCTTCTCCGCCCCCCGCCAGTCGACTTCACAGGCCGAACCTGGCGATCGGGCTCTCTTTCTCCTTCTCTTTGTTATATTACATAATATATAATATATATTATATATTATAATATGATAATATAATGATATAAAAGGATAATATAATGATATAAAAGAGAAAAAAAATAGAAGAAAAAAAATAGAAAAGAAATATTTTTGAAAATATGGATCTCTTAGAAATTTTTTGAAATTGGAGAGCATTTATTTCGCCGATTAAATTAATTGATGAAATTATAATATTGAGTTATTCGTTTATATATATAACGTGTACATAAATTTCTAGGACAATTATGTCTTTTTATAATAAAATCTCAAAAGCAGAACTCCTAAACAAACAATTTAAATTTATTTTCAAGTATTGATAAGCACTTTTAAAAATATTACTCAAACATATCTCATTATTGAAATTCCATTTTATTGAACGGCTTTTTCTCAACCTCATTTTCGAAAATTCCTTTTTATGTAAGCATAAACCGAATCAAACGAAGCCTATATGTGCTTTTAGTCGCTTCCCACAAAGCACTTACCTGTGCAAAGCAGCTGCAAATGGTTGCATTGTCATCTAGGATAAGCTGATGGTAAATAATCATCATCGTCGTCATCTAGGACTCCTCCCCATTTCAGCTGGCTTTCCCCTTCGGCCTTGTCGGCCCTTCTGCATCTCCTTCGGCAGCCTACTCATCATAGTCCTCAACCCTCTCTTCATCTTCCCCGGCAAAAACCTCATCATCTTCCCCAACTCCTTATCCACATCATAGCTCACCTTCGGCCCCCGCTCTCTCATATACTACAACCACGCCGGTTTCTCCAACCCCAAATGCTCCGCTGGCACCACCACGCAACCCGCCGTCGCGTCCATCACCGCTCCCCCTTCCGCTGTCTCATCCTTTATCCCAATCTTCTCCGCTTCCCCCTTCAACACCAACCCCGCCTTGCTATAAAACGCGCGCCTGAAGAGGGCAAGCTCAAAGCCGAAGAGGGGAACGAGGGTTTTTTTTTTCCTTTGTTGCTTCGCGAACAAGCAGCACGGCCGGTTATCAAAAACCGGTGCCAGTTTCGCGGTTCGACGGTCGAACCACCGATTCGAGCGGTTTAACCACGGTTGGATGCGAAACCGGTTTCCATTTGAACGATAACCGGCCGGCCGACGGTCCGCGGTTCAACCGGTTGAACCAGCCGGTCCGATCCGGTTTAAAGCGTTGATAATTAGTATATAATATTTAAATAAATCACACAAAAAATACATAGAATTAAATTTACATAATAATAAATTTTACCCTAAACATTACAATAGAAATATTATAAACAAAAGTATAATTAAAGACATGCCAGTTATCTGATTTAAAAAAAAAAAAATCATCAGCCTTCACGTCTACAATTTTTATATTCCATCATCATTAAGTCAATCAACACCACACATGTCATGTTCTGAACACTACATATTTTGGTATTATAAAATGTCAATACATGCTTCAACGGTTCAACTTACAAAACCACCATAGAACCCAGATTACAGAAGCCAGCTTCGCTTGGGATTGCTTTCTCACTGTTTCTAAAAGCAGTTTTTTAATTCAAAAATTATACTAATAAACTGTTTTAAGAAGCAATACAAAAATCATTCCGAACAAAGCCTAATGTAGAGCTTCTGCTTTCTGGGAGCTTTATATTCATCATTGTAAATAACTCAGAAGAAGATGAATCAAAAGTATAAAGAAAAATCTAAATTAACAACGCATGGATATTGAAAAACTAATTCGAAGGTCAAAAGATGAAGGCATCCTATCCATTTTTAAGAAAGCAATTTGCGGTATTAAGAGTTACAAAATAAATAATCATCACCTTTTGTTGCTGCTGCTGCTGCTGCTGCTTTTCAAATGAATGTGAAGATCACCTGTACTTTCCAAGCTCTTGTTTCTTCTTAATTGCCCGTTGGCCGTGATAGATGAAAGAATCTAGAATACCAGCTACGGTGAAAACTCCTGAGAGAGTTTTACAGAATGAAAAGATTTCAGAGAAGTGCAGACAGATGAAGAACAAATCGAAGCATAATATAGGTTTCGTTTAGGACGGCTTTTTAACTGCTTCTTAAAGTGGCTTTTTTGTATAAAATTTTTAATTTTTTACTAAAAAAATCGTTTTAAAAAGCAGTAAAAAAGCTGTCCCAAATGAAACCATAGTTAAGAATGAAAGCAATCAGAACCTCCAATTATAGCACAGATGCTTGTCAAAAAGTGCAACAAGGATTTGTTTTCCTCCGTGAAGATAACCTGATACAGATTAAAAGAATCAGAGAAGATAGAATGAAGATGCGAAGCATAATAATGAAGACGAAGACGAGGTCTATGGCATGATGTGTTGGGTAATAGATGAAACCAAATTCAATCATCGAGTAAAAGAAAATAGAAAATAGAAAAAGATTAACACAAAACATACAAGAATTATATATATATATATATATATATATATATATATACTTAGAAAATTAATGACGTCTTTTTGTTGCCACTGTTGATTTAACTACAATTTGAATGTGAAAAATTACAAGTATAATTCTACCGATACAAATATAAGAATAAGATGAACCAATCTAGACCTATTTTGTGTAGTACCTCCTTTTAATCAAGCATGACAACTGACTAAGACTTTGCGGTACCTGAATTTGTCGATGGTAAACCTATTAGATCCATTTTTTGCAACATTTGATTTGCCATTGTGCTCCTTCCTTGGAGAAATTATTACGTGCGGAGTCTGAACATAGCTCGTGTCTGGACTCTAATGAAAGACGGCAACGTCGCCCATACACACTATGTATAACGGCGTGGTCCTTTCCTATTGGAGTCTAGACGCCGTCTGGAATCCGCAAATAATAATTTCTCCCTTGGTCATGAATAGCCGTTTGTCATGTAATGGATAGTTGTCCTTTAGTAACTCTCACTTAATTTCTCCTGTTACGAAGCACGAACACTCCCAAACACCTCTCATGTTTATAACGGACACAAACATGGCTTTAGCATGCCTCGACATGCGATTGATACTTCGGAAATTGTGCCCTAGGTTTTTAAGTATGAAATTGCACTCTGACACATGTTAGACATGGCGGATCAAGACTGGGAACACGTGAGACACAAGAGAATACATAGAAGTTTGAAGCTCAAAATAAAGTCTAATTCGCATGAATGCATGTAGCACTAGCCGTCTCGCACTGTTGCCTCTCACCTTGTCGCCTCTCCTACTCATCAAAATGCTCGCCTTCTAGCCTCTCCTCTTTGTCAAAGCTGCCTCACATTGGCATGGCCATCGAAGCTGCTTGTCGTCGAAACCATCTTTGTCACCATCTCACTGGCCGTCGAAGTCATGTTCATCTGGCTATGATGCACCGACACTTCTCCTCAAAGAGGCATGCCGTGTCCGACATGTATCCAACGCAACACGCGTCTGAAACGCCTCAGACATAGAAATTGAGTCTGATTAAGAAAATATTAAATACAAATTGGACACGCGTGTCCAACACACATGTCTTGCATATTTTTTTTGAAAAATTTTAAAATATAATTTATTGTATTTATTTTTTTTATTTAAAATATAAAACTAAATTTATTATTTCTTATCCACAACACCAAATCAATCGCCCGCACTCAATCCTTCAAAATAACTTGGTTGAAAATGTATAATATTTTCAAATATATAGATATGCTATAGAGTAATAAAGATTGATAATTCTGAAATTTGTCGTTTTCATCATGTACCTCTATTATGGACATTATTGCTTTCATGTTGACTACTACAACAATAACAACAACATCAAGCCTCTATTTCACTAGCTGTGGTCGATTGCTTTCATTTTGACTAATAAAAATAAATAATAGTGATTTAAAATATCATTTACAATAACTTAAGCTGTAAATCTCATAGATTTTTGGAACAACAGTATTTAAGATTTATGAATTTGAGTATTACTCATAAGCATACTCACAGGTTAAATGGTATTTCACTTAGGTTGTACTTTTTGAGTTTAATTATACAATTAAAAAATTTAACTTAAAAAATATGTAAGATGTTGGTTGAAGTTCAATCAGTTGATTCAAACATATAAATTACAAACTCATTTCTTTTATAATTTACTAGGATAATGACTTCTGAAATAGACACTAATATGATTAATAATAATCCCATAGAGGAGGCAAAACCTTTATGGGCATGTATTACCAAATAAATAAAGTTGAAGTGATTGAGTTTCCGTGTTATTTTTGTGAAGAAAAGTTTACCATAACATTTTCTAGGGTAAGCGCTCACTTGAGCAGACAGCTTAGGTAAGGCATTTGATCTTGTCTTAATATATTATCCACACAATTGCAGGAAGTGCAAAACTTTAAGAGTTTTGATTGAATGCCTCCTTTAAGTTACCATTGCCAATCAAATCAAAGAAATGATTATGGAAGTAGGTTTAAGTTATCACTAACAATTCTCCAATTTGCAAAGCTACAATAGTTTCAATTGAAACTCAATAGCCACAAATTTGTTGAACTCTTGTGTTGTTCATACGTTGAATCTTACATAAAAAAATACATGAGCTTCAGAGAATGTAAAGAAGTAATGAGATCACCATTTCAAAATGTAATTGGATTACCAAGATAGCATGCAATGCGAACTTGATAAAGACATTCATCATGAATCACTTAATGAGATTGCCATTTTTTAACTGTGTTGACCTCTATATATGTTTCACGATTAATTGAGTACATCGAGGAAGGCGACTCACAAATATGTCTTACCAGAGCATCGGGACACCTCGATCGCCATCAAAAAAGCTCAAACCTTGTCCGATGGTGAAATAGATCGCACTGATGCACTCAGGACACCTATGGAAGAGTTATTCGTGCATAATTCAACTGAAAATGATGACGAGCATGATTGTTGGCAAGCACGACACTAGCAAAAACTACCGATACGATCAGAGCATCAGATTTACCTAACGGAGGACTCCTCGCAGTTGAATTGGGTGAAGGCGATCGAAATCAATAGGCTACGGATAACAGATGAAATATTATGTGACGTTGCCCAAACATTGTTAGTTTCCAAAATCAACTTCGTTGTTGTGTCCAAAAAGTCAAAATTAAATATAAAAGACTATAATATTGCCCCATGTCATTGAAGGTGATAAAAAATCGATGAACTGCAAATAAAATGTTGTGCAACGTTATCCAAACATCGTCCGTTTGCGAAACAAACTTCGTCGTTGTGTCCGTCATGCCGAAATCATATAGAAAAGGTTGTAATATTGCCCATACCATTGAAGGTGATCAAAATCGGCGGACTACAGACGATATGTTGTGTAGTGTTACGCAAACACCGCTCATTCGCAAAATGAACTTCGCCGTTGCGTCCAGGATGTCGACAATACCAAGAATTAGCCTTAATATTGCGCGGCTCCTTGTACGAGTGAAAGTGTGAAATTTGCATGAGTTTCGAGGTAGCGCCATGTAAAGCAATGCATATAGAAAAATATAATTTATGAGAGGTGTCAATCCACACTTCTTTTATTAAAAGTTACGTAATTTATAATAATAAACTATTTTTAATCGTAAATATATATATATATATATATATTAAAATAATAACTCTAATATTTTATCACTTTACCTATGCAAAGTCTATTTAAATTCCCTGTAGCTGTCCATTCCCATATAATATTCCTGTTGAGATCCGCTGCAAACGGCTGCCCATACCCAAATTCTGCTCAAATCGTACTACCCCAGCCACCCGAGTCATGTCAGCCAGTGTCAACCAGTGGAAAAAAAAAGAGAAGAAAGAAAAAGAAAGGAAGAAAAGAAAGAGGGAGAGAAAAAAAAATATTTTTGTGCATTTTTCGTCGGCGCCTCCACATCGATAACACCGTCGTCACTCGCATAAATGTATAATGCTATATAAACTAAAAAGACCTCAAAGCAATGGTGAACCCATAGCACAGCACCACGCCATCAGATCTACCACGCCACTGGATCCGCAATACTCGTACAAGGGAACATAAGGCATTTCTCAAGCTTTAAATGAAATTTTGTGCAATGTGCAAACTTTAGCGACAATCACTTAGCCCAAAGAATTATATTTTAAGCAATGGGGAACCCCTAGCAAGCGTGTTGTATGCACACACGTGACATTTGAGGATGTTGCGCGGGTCAAGAAATGAACTGAAGTTTAGTCCGATCATTTTATATGAATAGATAGGAGTCGACATGGCTCGAACAGTCAAACAAAAGTACGGTGGCAGCATCGACCGGGATATTTGTTTTATACATTCATATTAGGCCTTCAAGGTCTATAACAAGAAAAATTCATTGATAAAAACATGAAGCCGACAACGAACCCAATCATTTATCAGCAAATTGACAGAGTTGACAAGGTTCAACATATAAAATGAAATTACCCATAAGAACCTCGATGATGGCCGTGTTGATAGAAAATCTCAACTGGAGGGGATCACAAACATTTAAAATGCCTCCCAAATTCTTATAAAAATTCAAAATTTAAAAGTTTCAAAAACTTAAATATTTCAAATTGAAATAAAACACCAAAATACTTAAAGCAAAATACCCATCAAATGGCACCACTAAAGTATGATCATGGTTAGGGCCCATATGTTCTCCAACAACGCTAAATCATTAAGTGTTGAATAAATAGGATATAACTGATAGGGCACAAAGCCCTCTTTTAGTAATGGTGGATTCAAATTTGTCCCTTAAACAATCATTCACCCCAGGTCTATTCACCCCAGGTCTATGAGGTACTTTTGGACAAAGCAACCCATGGCTACCGACAAGAATTTTTCTATCAGGTTGGGTTGACTATCTCCTCTAACTAAGTAGACCAAGGACCATGATGACCCGTGACGACGGAACCATGAGATTTTGATTGGGATCATCATTCCCCTCACCATCCGCTTTAAGTACAATATGATAAATTTCTAACTTTAAATATTAAATTTTCAAATACCAAATCATGTTACTACTATGCGTTGGATACTACATATATGTTCTAGCCTTATGCGAAAGTTCTCTCTCATTGTCGGGAAGGGTAATTAACTATAAGGGCTTACGCCTATAGGAAACTTGAACTCAAATCATAAAGTTCTTGCAAAATGAGGGAGAAATCTCTGGGTAATATCTTACTCAAAACCCAATCTACCTTCTGAAAATTTGCCTCAAAACCTACTCATTAAAACTCTCATCGACGACTCGAAGAAAGATAAAGGGGCGGAGAGGCCGGGGTGCAAATTTTTGGAGCTCACACGATTTTAATTTAAAAATGTTGGATATAACAAAGACTCATTTTGCTTCAACAATTGTTCGTTTTAGATTATTCAAAATAATAAAACAAGAATTGCAGTGAGCATGTATAAAGAAGATAATGTAGATAGGGCCAAATTTTTGGAGAAAATATTGAATGATTTTTTAGGGATAAAATATATTATATAATATTATTATTACTTTACAGAACCAATATGATATATTAAAAGCAGCTGATGCTAACAAGCCTTCTCTACACCTTGTATATGGCATGTGGGACTCTATAATTTAAAAGGTTAAAGATATCATATATCAACATGAAGGAAAGGGAGATTATGGTGACTAAATATTTCATAAGGCGGGGAATGCTGTTCTTATTCAAACATGGAATAAGAGCAACACTTCCCTTAAATGTTCAGCTCACTCTCTCAACGCAAGGAAACCTTTAAAATTTTCATCAATCTTAGCCTACCCATTTTCATATCTATGAATCTTACTTGATAGATGAATTCTTTTATTAGGTATTATAGCAATGCTTGGCTAAGTGAAGCTCTAAATAGAGCTACCCCATATAAAGATATAAAAATATCAAATAAGAGAGACAAATGCTTGAAGAGAATTTTTTCAAACATTAAGAGACATCAATGATTAATTTGAAGAAACCTAAGAAGCTCTTAAACCTCATAAAACTCTACTAAAAGCTCTAAATAATAACTTTGTACCCTCAGCTAAGCCTCCACATCCATTTCCCTCAGGTTATCCTTCATTAAACCATTCAATAAAGTGTAAAACCAAATTAGCCCAAATTAGATTGAACTAAGATGATCTTGATTTTCCCACCATCATATCCCTCAAAATCCTTCACCATTTAACCTTAAACTCTACTCACTTCTTCACATCCTAAACTATTCATCCATAATCATTTCCAACCACCAATCTCATCATAAAGACTCTCACGACTATCAAAAATGGTCATCATCAACAAGATAAACTTGCTTGTAATCTCTAGTATAATATAGCTCAATATAAGCTCCTTATGTGGAGTTAAATGAAAAAATGCACATAAGTTCAAGATCTAGGATTCTATAGAACTATTAACTAAGGATTAGTGCACCATAGATTTCTTCATTTTTAGTATTTACATATTTATACTTCTAGTCTAAATTTTATTTACCAGCAAACTCTTTTAATAAGGTCAACCATACCACATTGCAGAAAACACTGCTATAACCTTTGAATTACGTTCTCCTCAAATATTTTGATGTCTTCATCGTTTCCCTCTTTAAATCTTCCTCTACTCTCAAGGTTTATAACAATAGAAGAAGAGCTTTCACTTAATTCGCATCTCTAAATGCCCTCACTTAAGATCAAGTCACATACAGTATGAGTTTTATCTTAGTAAACCAGAATGAATTGCTCACTATTGCCATAGTTCCAACCCAGCATCCTGGAGTGATGAAATAAATTCAAGATACAAACTTTATTGTTGAAGTTAATATCAACCAAATTCAACTGCCTTATAATTAGATTGAATTCATTGATATGCATAAGAGACTTTCAACATCCAAATATTTAAACACTTTCTCATTAGACTTACCTTACTCACTATCAACAACTTCTTGCACCTAACTGACAGAACTTCATCATTCCAATTGTGGTCTGCTCATGCAAAATATTGAAGAAAACATTCTTGATCATTCACAAGGCAAACAACACCTAGCATTTGTCTATCCATGAGACCTCAGTATTCTTGAATCGTGGTTGTCAACTTCACCCCAACAAAAGCCGATGTAGACCTTCCCTACTTCAGATAATCTTCGGTTTACATCTTCCAATATCTAAAATTCATGCCGTCAAGCATGCTGATCATCTTCCCATCCTGAAATGCCATTGCATCTACTTTTCCCTCAAGATATAAAAGTTCAACTCTGATACCAATTATTGGGAGAAGAGTGCATGTGCAAGAGCAATGATATAAATATAACATCAAGAAAATTCTAAGATAATAAGAGAAATTTACATTGTTCGGTGAAGTTAGAATGCGTCCACGGTCACATGGATGAAAAGTTTCAGTAAATTTAGATGATATAAAATTTTGCTCTCTTTCATCTCTTTGGATTTTCCTCCCTCTCAATTTTCTTTTACCTCTCTCCCAAATCCCTCTCCTTTTTTTTTCTTTTGATAAACAAAAATAAACCCAAAAAATAAAATAGTATTGCATAAAATATTCTAATATACATTATTCTATAATTAACTTGTGCTTCACTTTTTTTTTTTTTGAATCCATACTTATTTTGAATCCAAACCGAGATTTCCAAACTAATAGTAAGTGACAGCTATCCCCTATCTACACAAGCCTACTCAACTTCAACGTTAGATTCAAAAGACTTGCCACCAGCTGCAATAGTCAGCAAGCCTACTCATAGTCGATCTTCACACTATCCATCATAGGTCTTCACAAACACGTAATTTACTCCACATTGGCTTTCTCTCTGGGCACCACCGAACTCTCTTAAAGCTTGATGATAACCAAAACTTTCCACCAGTGTCCAGATTTTACAGCAGATAATGTAATAGGAAGTCCTTTGTTGCTTCACTGTACGGATTTCTTCATCCGCACCAGACTTGTTACCACCGTGAGAACCAAAGGATGCTCATTGCCGACTCTCGAAGGAATGGTAGATTATATTACGTAAGGCATAAAACCCATGTCCCTTTTATAAGCATTATCACTATTGCGGAAGATATGCTCATTGTTGAAATTCTACAGCAAACTCGGACCAGATAATTAACTTAAAAATTGCTTCATTTAGTAACAGGTTTTATCCAAAAAAGTATTTAAAAATCAAGGATTTATTTAGATTTATCCAGGGATTTAGAGTGAATTTGGATTCACATCTCTGCACACAATATTTCCGATTACATAGATTTTTTTAAGCATGCTACAAAATCTCAACACTCCAAATTTCAATAGATATTTGATATGGGACCATTTATTTACAAAATAACAATTAGATTGGCCATGTTACATGATCTAATTGTTACTAGCAAACTATAATTGATAAAAAAAATTGCATATTAAAAATGAAAATTTTAAGAAATGTGTGTTATATCAAAGAGGAATAATTATGTTACAAAATAGGGGGAGTAATATCTATTGAAGTTGTCATAACAAAAAAAAAAGGTGACTTGAACTAGATGACTGTTCAAAGCTGCACTAAAAAGATGGGAATAAAAATTTTAATGTGAAAGAATTTAACAAGTAAAAGGATAACAGAGAATTATGACCAGAAGTAGTGCAAGGATAATGGTGCAAATTAGAGTTAGCTTCTCATAAAGAAGTAAAGAAGGTTTAATGGTAGATCAGAACTCATAGAACCAACAATCAATACTAGAGATAAGCTAACAATGACATTGAAGATGATGATGGTACTTATATAATAAAATATTACTCAATGTCTAAAGTTAACCTATAAAAAAGGTATAACATATTTCACACGTAAAATATGAATGGCAGAGAAACATCAGCATATTTAAGTGAAAATAGAAACAGAAAATTAAAATGGCTATATAATACCGCTGAAATAGAACACCTCTGAAGTCGGAACTCATGAACTCCATTGATCAAATAGAAGTTCATGATGCAATGCATTAGCAAATAGAATTTTAGAGTAAAATTTTGAATGCGGAACAACCAAAATAATCAATTAAATTCATAGCCGATTTTCCTACGCCTATTTAATACACATAAACAAGAACCTTAATAGAAAAACCAAGCAAATGAAATTGGCAGATCAGTCTTCACTGAAATGTTCGAAAAAGCAGGACAAGGAAATCCATAAATCACTCACCTTAATAGGAGAGAAGTCATAAAAGAAGTATATCCCAGATGGAGATTTTAGTAAAACATTTCCATCTCTATAATGCTCTGTCACCGAAAACTGCAACAGGCATTGAGGTTTTATGGTAGAGCATGTTATTATAACTAAAAGGAGATGCATAGTATAATTGCAACTATTTACCTGGTTTGAGTGAATCTTCCGTCCTCTAATGTCTGTGTAAATTGTTGGGACGACCTGAAAGACAAAATAAACATTCACACCAGAAACCCTCAAACTAATCAGGCTATAATATCATCCATGGTCAAAGAATCAGTCAGGTAGGTCAAATAACATTAGAAAAAAAATCCGTAAACCTACTTTGATGAAATATTGATATATCCCGGACAACCCTGGCTCTTTCCACTGGGCGCTGGAGTTTATTTAAAGCCAAATGTTAGTTAAAGACCTGCAAAACCAAACAATAATGCATGCACATAGTAGTAATAAAAAGATCCCCGAGACTTACCCGTCAAGTGGGTTTACAACACCTGGGAATTTCTTTCCAAATGAAAGGTGATTTATTCTGTGGCTGATCTGATTTTTTTATAGAAATGTAAGAATAGAGCAATAATAGAAAATGATAGAACAAGATAATAAACGTTATACTGTGCAATATGAATAGAACAATTCTCATGAATAAGCACAATGGTTTACATTGAAGCTTCCTAGTTGCAAGTCCAATATCTCTGGCACAAAAAGGTTAGGGTGGTGAAAGCTCTTTCCACAAGCAAAGTGGAAGTTTCCAGCTACTTTATTAACTTCCAAGAAGCCCTTGATGTTGCATCCTTCACCCGTTTCCTCTTTAATCTTTTGGACAAAACCCTCTCTCTTGCACTGAAACATGAAAGGAAATCAATATCATCTTTTAAAATAATTCAATGGTAAAATTCAAAAAGAAATATGCCGTTTAATAACCTGAACCAAGCATGTTAAAAGCACCAATTTTATAGATGATCATTGAGTTAACACAATGATATTAAACAATTTAATTCAAATTGTTTCACTAAGGGAAAACGGCGCAGAGGCATGAATCTCGCTTTGCAGACTTAAGATTTCATTCTCCTTAAGGCAGATTATAGTTAACTAGATTTCCTCAGAAAGTGATATCAATGTTTATTTAGATATGGGTCCTTACTTCTTATGAGGGCCCTCATAATTAATTACCCCTCCTATTGTGTAGAAGAGAACTTTCGATTAAAAATGAATAATTTTATATGTTTTAGTCTCAGTTGTGGGGGAATGGAGGTAAACTCGATTAAGATCCCATGGTTCCAACATCCAGAGTATATCATATGTTTCAGTTTACCAGCACTAGCGATCGTTGATCGTAATGTCTAGAGCAGTCACGGGTAGCCTCCTCTCAGGGATCCTGATTAAACTGAAGTGGTCAAATGTAGTTTTTGGTGTTATAGAGATTTGGTTTGGGATTTATGACTTTGTTTAGAAGTTACCCAATTGTTTAAAGTGGTTCGGGGCTTATGGCTTCTATTGGAAATAGCCTGTAGTTTTGGGTCGTGGCTCTTACTGCTTTCATTGAAAGTAGCTCGTAGTTTTGAGAAGTCAAATCTTGCTGCTTTCATTGAAAGTAGATTGAGGTTTGAGAAGTATGTCTTACTTCTTTCATTGAAAGTAGCCCGATGTTTGAGAAGTCGGGTCTTAATACTTCTATTAGAAGTAGCTTGTATGTTTAAGAGGTTAGATTTTAATGCTTTTATTAAAAGTAGCCAGTGGTTTCAATTTTGAATAGGTCTTATGGCTCTGTTTACAAGTTGTCTGATTGTTTGGGTTTAGGGTTGTTCACTTAGAAGTTTCCCAAGCATGCGGGTCATACTGCTTCGCTTGAAAGTAGCCCGTAGGTGGGATTTAGGATTAGGTTACTTTTACCTAGATATTTCCCCTAACGTATTAACTAAAGTCGAACTTACAACCTCTATTAGAAGTTGTCAGGCTTTAATTTTAGGTGTTCACTGGTTCACTTAGTAGACTTGTGTGATAGAAAAGTCCCTCTCAAACATAAGGGAAAATTCTATAAGATGGTAGTGAGACTTGCAATACTTTATAGTGCAGAATGTTGGCCATTAAAAGAGAAGCATTATATTAAGTTAAATGTTGCAGAGATGAGGATGCTCAGGTGGATGAGTGGCTTTACCCTTAGAGATAGGATACGAAATGAGCATATACGTTAAAAGGTTGGAGTAGCTCCAATGGAAGATAATATTAGAGAGAGTCGCCTTAGATTGTTTGGTCACATAAACGGCAGTCTTCCGATGACCTGGTTAGGAAATAGATGTATTAGATTTGACTTATGTTAAGAAAGGTAGAAGTAGACCTAAAAAGACTTGGTTTAAAAATATTAGAAATGACATTTCTTTATTAGATTTAGACGAGAATTTGACTCTTAATAGGATACAATGGAGAAAGAGGATTCACGCCGACCCCAAATAAATGCTTGTTGTTGTTGTAGTAAAATATTTTTCCAAAAACAAGCCCATTCATGGCCTAACAAGCAAAATCAAGGTTTGCCAAGCTGGCCCATTAGATCGAGGTCTCGATAAGCTTGTTCAGGAGCCAATCTTTGAGCTAGTGTGATAATCTCACATGTTAGCTCAGCTCAATTACACCCATACCTATTATGTTGTCCATTGGACATGATAGTTTATTTTCTAATGCCATATATCTTCAATAATTGCTACGCTTACCATCTCACTAGTATAATCATTTCTCACCAGATATTTCAAGCTTTATCACATCCATCGTTTACTGATTCAACCAAATATTGGAAGAATAAAAACTGTCTAATTTGTATGTTGGTTATGTTTGAAACAGTTGGCTGAAGTGTAAACAACCAACAATTAGTACAATTAGAAGTGTTATGTCATAATGTGTGCACAAAGAACAGACCTAGGGCAGAAAATGGAGAAGATTTAGATTAAATCATATATTATACGATCTTGTACAATTTTATGATATCACAAATTCAAAATAGATCCTAAAGTTCCCAACACCAAAATGCATAAGGATAGACATGTCTACAGTACTCGTGACAAAACTAATTCACTTGTCAATTTTACTTGTTAAGGTATTAACCAAGTTGATTAATTGAGGTCTTAACCAGTTCAAATATATATAGATAATATAAAGAAAATAAACTCCTTAGACATACGCATATGCTCTCAGATTATGAAATTTTCATGCAGGTTTAATTACTAAAACCAGGTTTGGTAAGAACAACTTCCAAAATTCCCTTCAGTCACATATGCAATTTCCAAACTATCCTCTAGGAAGCAATAAAGCTATCTATAAACGGCATCAACAACAAGCAAATCATCAATACAAACCTATAATATAATCTACAACAGTACTATTGCTATTCAAGCTCAATGCCAAGCAATAATAAGGGAAGAAACCCAGAGCACATTCATGCTTGTGTACCTGATCAATCAGATCCATATTTGTCAGAGCCCAACCTCTATTTCTATATGCCTCCTGAACTTCTTCGCATGAATTACAGCAATGATCATCTGACTACAACAAACATGATTATTATTGTACTAATAAATAAAAAAATAAGGCTTTAAATAGCGCCCATATTTCAAATTTTGAACAAAAAAGAAAAAAAATATTCAAAAAATAACTTCAAGGCAAAGAAATGACTTTTAGCACGCATACCTTCTCTGCACCGAAACATGAACCACAGTAGCTCTCGCCATGCTCAAGCCTTCCACCATGCCTCTGCAAAGGTCTTTCAATCTGCAAAACATAGAAGAATTTGATTCTGATATTCGAATAAGACCTTAAAGGTTACGTGGGGAAAAGCTATAAATAGAAAAAAAAACACCTTGAAAGTTGAAACATCTCTCACCATATTCTAGGGATACCATTCTACAAGGCAATGTATTGCCATTGTAAGATTTTACTAATGTCCACCTTTTTAATAAGTACGTAATTAAAGGGCCGCTTATTCAAGATCCACGTATTTAGAAATTCTAAGAAAAAAATGAAATATATTTTTCTTTTTTGAAAGTTTTTTATTGCATGAAAATAAAATAAAATGAAACTAATTATTTCGTTAATTAGAACCCATTTTAAATATTAAGTAAATAATTTCTCTCTTCCTCCCTTTCTATTCAGTAAGTTGTTAGGATGCTTTTTACTGAGTTTTCTAATGTTATTCAAGGCGAGGAATTTTCAATCTGCTCATTATTTTGTACGAAAGGAATGAGGAGAACTGGTTACTATTCCCGCAAAATATTACAGAGACAAAAACTGAAAGTGAAGTCGGTGCATATGGTGATGTCAACATTTGGCCTATAGGACTTGCTATCAGTAGGGTCCAACCCGAAAATGACCCGCCATCAACTATCTCAACCCGAAACCGATCCGATTAGGGAAACGGGTCATAGAACCAGACACGAACTCGACCCAATTCGAATCCGGGTCGACATGACCTGCTGACCAGGTCGAGGGTGATTGCGAGCGGGTGTGCAGGCGGGGTTAGTAGGCAAGCCGCGACTGTACATATTCGGGTGAGCGAGCATGGGCGACCGGTAGAGCCGGTGAGGGCATGCAATGTGCAGGCGAGCGTGTGCGGGTGACTGCGATCACGACAAGCAATGAGGTCGTGAGGTGGGCGAACGAGAGTGCGTTGCGTGCGATAGAGGCCGTGCACATGTTGGCAGGTTGAATTTGGGTTTTTGGGTTGACCCGAACCTAACGCAAATTTGCAATCGAGTCAGGATTTAAAACCCGAACCCGACTCATTTTTCAAACGGGTTAACCCGAACCCAAAATTTTTTGGTTAGTTTCGTGTCGGATTTTCGGGTCATGTCAAATATTGACATCCTTACTCACATGCAAACAACCGATCAAGGAATGGGTAACATCAGTGCATGCAGCTGGCATGACAACGAGACAACGGGGGTCACCATATTTGGAATTCGGTCAATTCAATATGCATGTTATTTTGTATGGAAGGAATGAGGAGAACTGCACACTATTCTAGCAATATGCAAAAATTGAAAGTGAAGTTGGTGCATATGGTGATGTCAACAGTGGGCCTAAGACTTGGAGTCGGCATGGAGCTTGTAGGTAGCCAGCCGTTTAGGTAATGCGTAGCACTGGTGAAAACAGATGGCATAACAACGAGATAGAGGGGGTCACCAGATTTGGAATTTAATCAACTCTGTTGAATTTCTACTCGACGAATTTTGGCCTATTTTTGGTATTTTGAATGCCTCAAAACTTTACATTATACTCCTTTCGCTTCTGATTAAACACCAAATAAATTAAAATGTACTTAAACATAATACAGCACATCCCTAATACTTCTAACCAAATAGACCCTAAAGAAATTTATACCCATTTCAGCATAAAGAAGATGACAGTTAAAACGCTTACAAAATGGAAAGCAGGCCCACTTCTTGCCAAGCAATGGCATAACAAATAGGACAAGAGGTTGGGTAAAGCACTAGATAGGCATAAAAAGTCCTCTTGGTCACCTGCTCGTTGTGACCAAGCACTTCTCATGCATGAAATATGCATTGTTAGAACCAGTAAGCTTGGTATGGTAACTGCATGGCCGAGGATGAGCAAAGTATACCAGCTTAACGCAGATTTGAATATTTTAATGTATGCCCATTCCAATCCAAAAGCTCAAAGTGCCACATTAGACAAAAGAAAATGAAATGGGTATGGTAGTAAGGAGAGGGAGAGACACTTTGGAACAAAAGTAAAGGCTCTGCTTAGTAATCCTTTGCTTTTGAGTTGCCTTGAAAAAAACCTACAAAATAACAAAAACACAAAATGGAAACCCTTTCACCATGCGTGCACCATCTCCACAGCTTCACAGCAATGGAAACACATTTGCATTGCAGCATACCATCTCATAATCATCAAGAATTTAATTTCATACCGCACAAAATAACCAAGGAAAGACTAACGTGATTCATAATCACAAAAATTTGTGCTAAAATTAATCCTTAGTATAATAGCATAGGATAAAATCACTGTGCATGTAAACCTAAAATAAGCGATATCACCCATCAATCATTAAAAAAAAAAAAAAACTATACTACTACCGCCATATTTTATCCTCATTCATAAACCCAACATCAGTTCCAACAGTAATGCTCATTTTGTAACATGTTCAATCAAGTGGGCCACATCTTTTAAGATTAAATTTCCGTCACAACAAAAGATTTCAAGCACCTCTTGGTGTCCGCCACTACAAAGCATTTATGGAAAATATTCACTGCTGTTAGATGAAATTCGCTTTCAGGCTTCAGCGTATGTTAACTTAAACTGAAGTAACACCATACATAATTGAAAAAAACTTGATACTCATTCAGTATATTATTAACATGTAGATTTACAAGAAGAAAGTAATGGAATAATATTTAATAAAAAATATCAAGATCACTAGAAAGGGAAAGTGAAAGAGTTATCCAAGTATTTGGAGTACAACATAAGAAAAGTGACACTGAGAGAAGAGGAGAGAACAGGGTGAGAAGCAAGGGCGGGTTGCGCATGGGAGACAAGTAAGGCTATTTTATGTGGGAAAGACATTTTGAGTCACATTTTAGCAGGTCAACAAGATAAACAACTGCATATAGAATACCAAAACTTCAGCAAGGTACCTTTGGGGCACCAACACCATCCTGCCTTGATCCAATCACATTACCAGTATGATCAATTCTCGTTTTCACTATATCATGTGTCTGAAAAGAAAAGAAATATAAGTACATATTACACATAGAAATACCAAAACTATTTTATAAACCCATTCACCAAATTAATCAGAAAAGACAAACATACTATATCATAATGCTGCTCCCCACTGACATCCATTGTGTCAACGCTGACAAGTGCACAAGCAAGATGCGGAAACGTTACATCAAACTGCAATGAGCACGAACAAGGACTTTATTACATAGTCACTTTGATTTTAATCAGAAAGCTCTACAGATTAAAAATTGGTACTCGATCAAAGACAACAGAAGCCTCAACAGCCTCCATATATATGACATTAAAGATTACTAATAAGTAATACCAAAAAACTTAGGAGAAAAGGAAAACAAATAACTTGAAGAAGAACAATATTTGTTTGAAACTTTTCCTATCAACCAATTACAAAGAGAGAATAACTTTCTGATCCATACCAAATAAAAAAATACGAAGTAGAAACTGTGAGGCCAAACAGTTTGAGTCGTCAAATGACTTGCTTTGGGGATGAAACTAAACTAAAAATATCAAAAAAAAATTCCAACCCGAACAAAAAATCACAGAAGAGATGAGAATAAGATGCTAACATTGACACGAAGCTTTTCCCCTCTTGATGTATCAACTATCAGCTTTGTCTCGGTTGCTGAATAAATATATAATCCTGCCCAAGAAGTTCAAAATGAAAGTTTTACTATTTAGATAAAATGTTCTCAAACTACAAAAGCCTCGCAAAGAAAGGAGATAAAATAAAGTCCAAGCTACGCTTTACATATACAGTGGGCATTCTACATATCAGAAGTGACCGAGCAAAATATCAACCAGGAGACAATTTCTACTGCAAGAATGTTGAAAATCAAAGTACATCACGAACAGATTAAATTTAGCTTCCATAATTACAGGAATCATTTGATTTCTCACCAAAATGTAAAATATCACAAAACTGCAGAGTCTATATAGATCAAATAACACATAACATTTCAACACAGTGCCATTAAACAGGAACCAAAATAAAATAAAACATTCTGATTGCCATTTTTTAATTGAATCTGTAATTTAAGACACCCTCGTAAATCCCTACACATACTGTATTATGTGTAGACATCAAAAGACCCATAACTCTAGTCTAAGTGCTCATTAAATAAGAAACAACGGATTAGTAAAACAGGCCTTTGGCTTTCAATTTAAGGGGATTTACATACATAGCACGTAAAACATTTTATTTACATATTTAATGCCTAAAACTTAGTATTAACTCATATAACACTAAAAATCTTAAATAACATAAAAAAATACCATGATCTTCACCCTCCAATTAACTTCCATCAAAAAGATTCTCCTCTATACACCGTCAATCCTATTGATTACCTTCCCTGAGATATCTTGTGCTCCCAAGTGAGATTTCATCATGAATTCTTCACATTCTCTTTCACGTCAAGGGTCAAGCTTCACACACCATCAATTCTATAAATGCACCCAGCGAAATCCCAATGCATCTTACACATCTCTTCTTCGCCATCAAGGGCTTTGATATTCAAAATATGAGCAATAGCACATAACAAAAATTAAAGGCATGGCAAGGTTAGGAGATAGTAAAGTTTAGGTGTTAATTATGTAAATAAAATAATTTTAGGTGCTATATATATAAATCCACCTTCAATTTATTACCAATAAAAACTAATCAACCACTTTGCAAAGCAAAAGGGGAAAGCCTAATTTTTTTATAAGCCACTTTACAACAGCAAACACAAATCATATTTGAAAATATTGAGAATGCAATAAATGACTACCAATGTGTAGGGATGTTTTAAGATTATTTGAATGGTTCAATTTAAATATTATTGAAGGGTCGGATAGGGCATTTTGTGTTGAAATTAAATTTAAGGTCTGATTGTTCATTACACTTTAGATAATGTTATTATCTAGATTGCAATGTTATTTATAGAGCAGTGCTATCTATCAAATTAATTAGTTGGGTTTGATATCATCTTACTTAAAAATTGTAATACTATTTAGAATTGTCCATGGTGATTATGATTTTGTTCTGTCTTCATCTTGGCCATCAAAATTGAGTTAACCTAGACAGCATCTAATTTAGCTGGTATTTAGCTTGCATCAATCTGTCCTACTAATGTTATTAATATTAAATATGTGAGAAATAATATCAAACAAACCACCTTTTAATTTAAGTAAGACAGCATTAAATAAGGAAAGCAACAAACTAAACACCCCCTTGAAAGTTCAAGTTCTAAGCTTTATATAACTCATCCATAAATCAAACAACCTCAAGTAGATTTGACTAAAATGTATAATGGGAAATAAATTCTCATTTCTGTTGAAATTCAAATTGCCATGAACTGAAAAATCTCAAGCTAAGCTAAAATCACTAGAACTAAGACTCAAATGTCAGACCTACGTAGTAGCCTAAAAATGCAATTAAACCAGAAATTTATGTTCAAATGCCCCAACTTATCCGACTCCTTTGACATGTTTTTATATGGCTATCACCACCTGAGACTACAACTTGGTGATCTCCTTGGACAATTTTATGTGGAGAAATATATCTGATAATCAGAAAAATCCTAAGTGTTGCTTTTTTTTTTTTTTTCCTATAACATTACTAGATGAGTCAATGCACACTAAATCTTTGTAAAAGCAACGCAACGCAACACTCCTTTCCAAAAGTTTATGAAGATATTCTACAATTTTTGAAAAGAAGAGCCCAAACAAAACGGTCCCAATCATCAAATGAAACATTACATCGAAAAGAAAAAATAAATATATATGGTAGAATTACCCAGAAAATATGCCCTTCCCTTCAAGGATAGCAACTTAAGCAATCAGAAAAACAACAAACAGTCAAAATTAGAGGAAACTCATTCAAGAATAATTCAGGGGTAATAAGACTCACTAATTTCCGATATGAAAAGGAGAAGTATGATGATGGAAGAGATGACGGTGATTAGACCTCCGGAGCGGGTCCTGTCATAGAAATCATCCTTGATCTTAGGATAGGCGTCAAGATTCTTGAGCTTATTAAGGATATCCATCTACTTGGGGAGGGTTGACGCAACGGAATCGGAGGCCGATAACTTAAACCCCGTATAAATGAAGAAGAAGCGAGTCAACGAAAATCTAGGGTTTGTCGAGGAGTTCCGTGATTCCGTAAATTGTCCCGAACCTCCCCGTTTTCCCGTCTCGGCGGCGCCCTGCCTCAGATCGAAATAATGAAAGCTCTAATGCTCCGGCGATAAGTACAAGAAGAAGAAGCTGCCCATCTCTCACGAGCTAAGAAGCAATTTACTTAAACCTGAATTTACACGTGGACGTTTTCTATTGGACTAGCAATTATTTTTGACCGACAAAAAATACCAAATAACAAAAAGATCGGGGATTTAGTGATTTACTTTATATTACAAATAAGTTTTGATATTTGTTAATATAATATTATAAGTTCGTAGTCATATTAAATCTATTATTAATATTAACTTATTTAATTTGTTCATATTGTTGAGTGTCAAAAATTCACAACGATATGTTGATAGAGTTTAGCATCTTAGCATTTATGCTAAAATTCACCACACAAATAAGAGAGGAGGAAATAGAGACACATGAATTTTTACACGAAAAACTTATAAAAGTGACAAAAACACATGTTATATTCAAACTGAAATAATTCTACTGGTATATCATTAGTTAGAAATGATGCTCTTCTTTTATAAATTGTGTTGATAGTGTAGAAGCTAAAGACAAGGAAGAGTTCAAGAAGAAGAACACGAAGGCTTAAAAAAGTCAGAACAGAGAATGATAATTTCATATCTTTGATAACAGAGTACATGACAATTTATATAGAATTGGCTTTAGAGCCCATGTATACGTGTACATTTATTATTGGACAACAAGAATACAATAGTATGTATTGTTGGTCTGATAGCCCCCCACAAACTGACGAATCTTGCATGATCGTTAGTTTGGCTCGTAACGTCTTGAATCTTATGGTAGACAGTGGCTTTGTTAGAATGTTGGCCAGTTGATCGATTGTGCTGATCGGTAGTAGGCGAATAATGTTGTTTTGGATATTGTCACGAATGAAGAAGCACAAGAATTAAACCTGCTTCTGATACCATGTAGAAGCTAAAGACAAGGAAGAGTTCAAGAAGAAGAACATGAAGGCTTAAAGAAGCCAGAACAGAGAATGATAATTTCATATCTTTGATAACAGAGTACAGGACAGTTTATATAGACTTGGCTTTAGAGCCCATGTATACGTGTGCATTTATTATTGAACCACACGAATACAAGGGTATTTATTGTTTGTCTGATAGATATAATACAATAAACATTAAATATATAATGTATTATGCTATGAAAGTTAGATGAGCTCTATGACATAAATGCTATATGTAAGATATCATTTGCAGTTTATATGGTTTTATTCATTTAACGAGAGGAGATCAAATAATAAAAAGTTCAACATAAATCTTAATGTTGACAATGCAAATCATTGTTGATGTCAACATCATGCATCAATCATCTCCACTAGGGCTTTCTGAGTCTTTGTGGCGTCGGCCGCTGTCGTGCTGGTGTTCATCTCAGGGAAGTTTTTTCCATTTTTTTTGCTGTTTTGTGATCCCTTTTCCTGTTTCATCACCTCCGGCCCACTGTGGCCGGAATGGCGGTGAAACGCTTGAAGGATCCTTATGTTTTGGATGATTTGCTGAAATCATGTTCATTATTGGAGGTTTTATTTGTAAATACTTATGATGCTTGTTTTCTAGAGTTAAAATCGACTATTTTTTTAGATTTTCCCTCTCTTTGGATTTCGGAGGAGGAGATCCTCTCGATGGCATCACCCCTTAAATTTTCTTTGGTTGGTTTTTTCCCTCGATGTAAAGCCCCATAAATGACAATTTTAAATATTGCACGCCTTTTGATGCGCTGTGACGAAATTTAAGTGAATTTTTCAAAGTCATTGAATTTTAACAAAATTAATTTTATAAAATTGTACATAAAATTTTAAGCAAAATGGTACAAAAGACTTAAAGTTAATTTCACTTAATTTGGAAGTTAAACATTATACAAGTTTCTTTATGACTAAAATGCCCTTATTAATATTAAAGCGAAATGAGTCTTGAACTTAAGGGCATTTAGGACTTTATACATTTAAACCTATCCTCCCACTCTTATTAGGGGACTGAAATTCATTCGGTCCCCATTATTTCGTTCGGCCGAAAACGAACGTGAGGAGAGGCAGATGGAAGGGAGTGGTGGGAGCTAGGTAACGGGATTGCTAGGGCAGTTTTCCGACAATATCCTTAAAGGGAAATTGTAGGGGAAACCTATGGAGCACTAACATATGTTTCTAAACCTAGAAATCTTTATCTTTCTCATAGATTCTTGAGATGAAAAATCTAGGGTTTGATAAAAACTTCAAATTTTTTTAAGAGAATGATATAATAGGTTTAAGAGTTGATCTTAAACATGAAAATGAGGTTTTTACCAAAAATGTGGAGTTGGAAAAATTAAGGTTTTTTTTTCATATTGTTGGATTTTTAAGAAGTTTCTTGAGAAGTATTGTTTTAAATGATTATAAGAATATTTATAATATTATAGATTAAGGTATTTACACAAAATGCCATTTTTGTAATTTTAATTTAATTTAAATATGAAAATTAAGTCTATTTTAATTTAATTTATGCTTTAATCAATAAGTTGATTTGAGTGATTAATATTATTATACAAAATTAGGGAGAGGATGAGAAATAGAAAGAGAGCCTATGGTAATTTTATGGGAATATAATAATTAAGTTTGAGATAATTAGTGTAACCTATGAATATTAAAATATTTTTTATAAGTGTTAATTATTGTGACCTCGAAGAAATAAATCATTATTCCAATTTCAAAGTGAGTAACATATTTATATATTATGATAATTTTATCATTTTAGTTTTTATTTAATTGTTATTGCAATTTGTTCATTTTATTGCATTTCAAATGATTCCATGTTTTATATCTTGCATATTATGTGATTCATTATATTACTGTATAAGACATATGATAGAGCTTAGTATTATGATATATGAATATGATATGATTGATATATTGAGTGATTGCATGTACATATTGAAATGATGAAGCTCGTCTCCTTATGTTACTAGCTGAGGACGCTATACTCGTGCACGTTAAAATAGAAAATGTTATGAAAAATGAAATGATAAAGGAGTACCTTTATAGTACTAGACGGTGGCTCCTGTGACGATTGTACTATATATGAAATGAAAAAATTACAAATACTGATATGATGAATGTAAAATAAATATGAATGATATGTATTTATGATTTATGTGTATGTTTAAATGATATGTTTATAGAAAATCAAATTTCTGATATATTTAAATTAAAGTGGAATCTAACATATTACTCATTCTGCCTTAAATTACTATAATTTAGAGACATGTGTTACTCGCTAAGCTTTGACTTATTGTTGTTGCTGTAATTTTTCTTTCAGAAAATTTTAAGATAATCAAATGAATAGAAGAGACAAAAATGCCTACCGTAGACGTGAGGCATAAGAAGAAAGGTATATATGTTTATTATATATCAATTTATAGATATTTTGAAGTTTAGTGGCTCTTTCAAATTTATTGAGTTAGTTTTAAGGAATTAAAAATTTGATCTACCGTCTGACCATACGTTCCCGCCTCGCCTATGCTAGCTTACAGGGTCGGGTCGTGACACTCGCGACTGCCTTCCCTCGACTCTATCTGTAGGTTCTTTTTCAACTTGAAATTGAATGGTGATATTTCAGTCATGTTGTTGGATCAAACGCATGTCTTGATTAAGCTGGTGAACGATCTATATTATAGTAATTATTACATAAAGCTAATTAAATGGTCTCCATTTGTTGATATTGGTGTTGAGTCACCTGTGATCCCAATTTGGGTTTCCTTCCCAAACTTGAGGTAGCACATTTTCTCCTCTCGCATACTTCATGGATTGGGAACCTTGTTTGGGTAACCTTTGTATATTGATAATGCAACTTCTTTAGGGTATTGCCCGTTTGTTATGCGTGTGTTGGTTGAACTCAATTTCACCAAAAAAGTATCCTAATAAAGTTTGGATTGGCCCTAAAAAAGTTAGGTATATTCAACCTGTTGAGATGAAAGTCTTCCCTCATTTCTGTGTTCATCGTAAATGTATTGGTCATTTGAGAGAATCTTGTCCCCTCTTGACTTCTATCCCAGAGAATGTTTCTTTTAATGCTAATTCTCTTAATAATTTTGATGTGCAAGCTACTATTGTTAAGGATAATTAATTTAGTGTTGTTATTCCTAATTCTACTCTTCCTTTACCTGTTAATAATTCGAAGGTAGAGGACGTTAATGCTATGAATGAGTTTATGACTGTTGCACTTTTTGGGGGTATTAGTGATCCACTAGGCACTGGTGGAGAGGATTGCGGGGTCTCTATTCATTATGGAACTGATTCGGTTCCTGTTGTGGGGGATGAACCATCTGATGTTGTGGGGGTTGTTTAGTCGATAATGCCTATGAATTCTAATTATGCGTTCCAGGTGGGTGTTATGGAGGTATTGAAAACTGATAATTGTTTGCTTAACGTCAGTGCTAATCCCATTTTGTCTGATGTTGGAAAATAATATGCAGCTATTATGGATTCTTGTGATAATGTTATTTCCTCTGATTTTGTGGCTTGGAACGTTGTTGGTTCTATGGCAACTATGGTTTCTGATGTGCCTGTGGATTGTGATGAAAATAATGTCGCTTTAGTGGGTTTGACCTGTAACTTGAAGGTGATGGAGAAGGAGACTTTTGTTGATGTGCTAATTGAGCTTATTTCTTCTAACGAATTAAAGGCCAAATTGTCTTTAAATGCCATTGAAAATAGTGTGGAACAATCATATTGGTTGGATGGGTATGGTTCTTCATCTTGTGGGGAAGCTGGAGAGGGTTTGGATGAGCTATTGGAGGAGTTTTATGACTTATAAGGTTTACATGTAAGTAGTAAAATTCATAAAAAGCTTTTCTAATGGTGGAAGTAAGTAGCGTAGTCGAAAATGAAGGAAGAGGTAATCTTCTTCTGATTTTGAGGCTTTTTCAACTCATTTTAGGGGGTCTTTGTTGGATTCATGGTGACTATGGCGGTGTGGTGGACGCATTTTAAACTTTGTTATGTTATGCTTGTCTTTGTCTTTTTTTGGCCTCTATTTTTTTTTTTTTTTTGCAGGAATTACTTTAGAGGATGCATGACTGGTT